AATGCTCTATCAAAATGTAGTTTTCTAGTTTCCTTAAAGAGAGATAAACGTCTGTATCAAAAAATCAAAAAATACCAAAGAGAACAAAGACAAGAAAGACTGTAAGAGGTGACAGTGTGACACTCATCATCATCTTCCAGTGCCAGATCTGCGACAGACATCTGCTATCATGGTTCTCCATTCATTCCTTTGCTCGGATTCTCTCAAAAAAGCAACGTTTCTATGATCTTTCCCTGTTACCCATTTGTTTAGGTTCCCTAAGTAGATTGTTCTGGGCCTACTCCTGCCTCGTTTGCCTTCAATTTTGCCAGTGAGAGCTGGATGTTGAAGACCCGTATGTCTATTCAGGTGTCCCAATAACGTGACACTCAATCTAGGTGAAATGATATATTTTAAAAAAGTAGAATCAGCTTTGTATATGTAACAGAGTGTGTTGTTGGTATATTATTGATAAGGAAAGAGACAAAAGCCACCAATGCTCTGTGAATATTTTGAATCTGCGAGAGAGAGAGAGAGAGAGAGAGAGAGAGAGAGAGAGAGAGAGAGAGAGAGAGAGAGAGAGAGATCTATGGGATAAGATAAATTGCAAAATTTGAATGGGATAAGCAGTCAACCTCTGAAAGTTTGGGTGCCAAGTTTATCACTTTGTCCTACTCAGACATTTAAAAAAATTCCAGTGGAAAGAGTTTACATTTCTTTGAAATTCGAGATCGTAAAAATTAAGTTAAAGCCACATTTAGATCTAAATATTTTAATTTTCAATTTTAATAAACATGCCCAATGTCTCAACAAGTACGATTACAACTCAAGTATGGTCTTCAGGAGTCAAAAGAGGCATAAACCTAAAACATTTCCTAACTTTCGAACAGAAATAATAAGTGGGTGGTTAGCTGGTGCTCTGGTGTGGTTTGCTTCTTCTTTTCTATCAAACATCTATCGTCCTTACCTCCCCTTCCTCTTTTATTTGTTTGTTACTCTCTTGTAACACCTCTAATCTCTCTGGTGCTCATATGAGCTTATGCAGTTGCGCGTGCCGTAAAACCTCTACTAAAACTAAAACTAAGAAATAACAACAAAATTCCTTCTTGTTTTCTACTTCTGCTTCACGACCGTCCATGATGCATTGCCCTCTCACTCACTCTCAGACAACGACATGGCCCCAGTGAAAGGATGCGTGGAATAACTGGGGATGCAACCGTGTTTACAAACGTCTTCATTTGCCTCCTTCAATTTTTGGCCCTCGGAGAAACAATTTTTCTTGAAGATCTGACCAGGCCTAAGATATTGAGAAAATATTATTAAACGAGGTGCTCTGGGCGTCGGGCCAGTGTTGTCATCCCAGCGAGGAGTAAGCTCTTCACGATCGCCCTCTCCTCAGGCGTTAATTTTGGTCGTTCCGGGGAGATCACTTCCCGCGTAGGAAGCGGAAATTGTGTGTCTTTTTTTTTCCTTCTTCCTCTTCGCACTTGTGAGTGCGAGTGAACAATGCAATTGTGTGTGAGTGAGGGTGGCGGTGGATGGATGGGAGGATGGGGGGGTGGGGAAGGATACATTCCATTCTAAACTGAAAAAGAAAGGAAAATATCACCCTCTGCGTTCTACCAATATCAAAAGGATTATTGGCGAATGTGGTTTCCTGGAATAGATCTTCTGCTATGGTGAAT